TTTCTTGGGCAAGTGACCTGTCCAGACATACTTGGCACCATGCTGGGAAGGGCCCAGCACTTCATTTCACACTGTGCTGACACCATCTGGATATTTTGAATGCTTTTTGAACAAGGGTCCCCAGATTTTCACTGTGTACTGGCCCCACAAATTATGTAGCAGGTCCCGCTTTGAGGCCATTAACTGTCTTATTAACTGCTAGAAGGTCCCAGATAATTGACAAAAAGGAAACAAGATGAGGGGCAGTGTCCACTGGCGGGCCACACACACTAGAGAAACAACTAGAACCTGCCAGGACGTGTGTTTGTTATTGTTTTAATATTGGTCTTTGTATTGTGTAGATTTCTGTTTTATGCAAAAAATTTTCTGCCTCCCAAATTCCTATGTTTACAAGTCCAGAAAAAATGCTTTGGGAGTGGAAAGAAATAGGGAGTGGACCTGGGGAAATGTGAGAGCTCCTTATTATTTTGCGTCACGAGCAGCTTTGGCCGGCAAATCTGGCACTGTTGCTCAAATTCCAGTGTCAGGACTTTTCATGGCTCCCTTCCAAATGGAGTCAATCCTAGGCAGGTGCTTGTTGTGATTATTCCTGTTGTCTAAATTTTGACAGAGCTCACCTCCTTCACACCTGTGCTTAAATGTCACCCTCTCCATGAGGCCCATGTGCTAGTACCCCTGCGATCTGCAACTTACTCCTGGTTCCCTTATTTCACTTCCTTTCATTTAAATGCCTAAGGCGTGGCACACAGTAGGTGCTCAATAGCCATTAATTGAATCAAGGAATGAGAGAACGAGCTGATCGCCCACATTCCTAGCAGTTAAAGATAAGCCTTGATGAGGAAAAAAATGTGAGCTTTATTCTTATTCCCTTTCTCCCATTGAGGTCTGTTCTCCAAAAGATTGATTGATTCTAGTTCTCTGAATTCTTCAGGGGTCAGCCCCCAAACAGTGCTATTTTTATGATCTCTAGCCAGTTTAACATCTAGGAGTTTTCCAGTCTGAGTGTCCCCATGTTATTTAGGAACAGAATTTTCTAAGGTCATAGTAGGAATGGAGATAAGATAATGCGTTCCTCGCAGAGGAGGATGTCAAGAGCATATTACTAATCGTAAGGGGATCTTTCTGTTTCTGTGGGGAGTTCACCTGGGTCTTTTCACTGGTTTCACTGTGGGCCAAGTTTCCTTCCAGAGAGGAGCTGTGTGGGGGATAACAGTCAGTCCTTCATCCCACTCTTCCTGAAAATGCTGGAGATATTGGTGTCGTCCATTCCAGCATATTTTTTTAATTTTTACACTTTTTATATTTGAGGGAGAGAGAGAGAGAGAGAGAGAGAGAGAGAGAGAGAGAGAGAGAGGAAGGATCCCAAGAGGAGCCTGAGTGGGGCTCAATTCTATGACCCTGAGATCTGGGATCATGACCTGAGTGGAAATCAAGAGTCAGATGCTCAACCGACTAAGCCACCCAGGTGCCCCCATCCCAGCAATATTAAAAGTGAATTTCAAATTACTAGTCTATTTCAATAGCTCTATGTATGAAAATCAGCTAGTTGTTAAAATATGTACTAACTTGAAAAGAGCCTCAAGAGACTTATCAATCAAAGTAATACCTAATCAATTTGAAGTAGTCCTATTTTTGAGTTGTAGCTGAAAACTGAACTCTTTGGCTAAGAGATACTTCTACCATTAATTCAGTAAAGGAAGAGTTGGTACATGGAGAAAGTAATGAAGGAAAAATGTGACAGTGTGCAAAATAGAATCCATATTTGGTATACCTGAACTGATATACTGTCCTTTAACAATCGTTTCTGTGTACTTTCATCATTTTTTCTTTATTCTCTAAGTCTTTGAGAAGACTTCTGACAATCTAAATTCAGTATACTGATGTGAGAAATGAATGGCACTATTACAGTAAATGAGTTTTCAGTCTGAGAGCCTACATGCCACATTCCATCTATCTACTGTGTTTAATCTGGTTTTTTTTTAGAGAAACAAGAAGACTGGCCCTTGGTTCTGTCAAGTTATAGGCATATAAATTTGTTTTTTCAACTCCCTATAGTAGAAATAATGACTTCTTAGACACCCCAAACCAGGTGGAATAAATAAAACAGTAAAGATCATCTCATTTCACAGCCAGGAAATGGAGGAAAAAATTTTAATATAAAAATCAAATAGATCAGAGAGTGTAAAAAAGTTTTTTGCGGGGTGCCTGGGTGGCTCTGTTGGTTAAACATCCTACATGGGCTCAGGTCATGATCTCGTGGTTCATGGGTTCAAGCCCTGCTTCAGGATCTGTGCTAACAGTTGGGACCCTGGAACCTGCTTCAGATTCCGTGTCTCCCTCTCTCTCTGCCCCTCCCCTGCTCTCTCTCTCTCTCTCTCAAAAATAGACAAACGTTAAAAAAATGTAATAAAAAGTTTTTTTTCTTTTCTAACAAAGTCTGTGAGTTGCTGTGCTTGCATACCCTGGAATAGTCTTATGATTTTGTTCCTGAAGTATGCAAACATTGTTTCAGTGTAAGGAAATAGGAGGAAAACAGTTAAAATGAGAAGACTGTGTTTGAGCTTCAGTTTAGGTCAGAGATTTGGAAGGTTTTAAGTACTTCCAAAAGTGGAACAGCCCCAGCAAATTCTCTGGATGCTGTATGTTTTCATTTTCCTGGAGGATGGGGAAGCTCTGAGGTGGCTTCCTGGTAAGGCAAGGGTGGATCAAGCTGGCATCTTCCAGGGCTTCTAGGAGGCAGATGAGTGGATGTGTTGTTTCCATGGACACACCACTGCTCCATTTTCCCCTCTAGGTTGTGACAAATGTGACTGGGTTTAGCCTGGTAAGGTGGAGGCTAGTGTGAATTTATTCCCATGAACTGTTTTTTCCCATTCTCCCCCCTACAACTTCATGTAAACAAATTACTTCCAAGGTAGAATTACTTTGTGATCTTGGGGCACCTGGGTGGCTCCGTCAGTTAAGCATCTGACTCTTGTTTTTGGCTCAGGTCATGATCTCTCAGTTTGTAGGTTTGAGCCCTGCATTGTGCTCTGCACTGATGGTGCAGGGGATTCTCTCTATCCCCCTCTTTCTGCCCTTCCCCAGCTCTTGTACTCTGTCTCTGTCTCTCAAAATAAAGAAATAAGAAGAAAGAATTACTTTGTAATCTTACTTTGGAGATTTGCTTAATTCCTTATAATGGGATATGTTCAGGCCAAATGGAGTAATTAAAAAGTAGGAGTGTGTGTGTATGTTTTAATCATCAGAAAAAGGACACACCAATACATTCAGGAACTACTTACTCTCTTGTCTGCTTGTAAGGCATTATGCCTCTATTTGCATTCGGAGCCCTCAGTGAAAATTCCTAGTCTTCCTGAATAATTGTGTGCAGTCGTATCTTTAGAACATGTACTGCTTCAGTGGGTGTTATAAGGGGCACTGGAGGTAATAAGGGCTGAAAGAAGGGTGTGCTACAATTCAAAAAAGGAAAATACACAAGGGGCTACTTGTGTATTTCATTGGCTACATGATATAGTTTAGTAAATTAGGAGGTAGAAGCAAAGGCTGAGCCTGTGCCCACACAACTCACACAGTGTAATAAAGTAACCTTTAGACAACAGCTGTAATACACAAAGCCCATGCCAAAAACAACAGAACAGGGCCCAGTTCCTGTCCCTTAAAGCCTGACAGCTGAAATAGTGGCTGAGCTTAACGACAAAAAAAAAAAAAAAAAAAAAAAAAAAAAAAAAAAAAAAAAAAAAAAAAAGAACAAAACAAAACAAACAATGATCCAAACCAAAGTTTTCTGACGAAAGGAAAGTGTACTAATTAGAAGTTAGACATTTCAAAAGCATCGTCTTATGGAAGAGTGCCAGCCTTATTGGTGGACTTCTGGACTTCTGGTTCCTTACTATTGGCTGAGAAAATGTTTCAACGTATTGAATCCTTTCTGGGTGGAACTGAGACATTGTATCCATTTAATAAAAATTCTAAATTTGGGTTAACATTATTATTTATGCTATGGGAATTGGAAGAGCAAAGAATAATATCCTCCCACCTACCTTGATTTTGCATCGATTTTTTAAAAGTACTCATTTCTTCCTGACAGCTAACTTCAGTGGCAGAAAATGCTGAGAAATTGGAATGTGGATTTCCAAGTTGTTAAAAAATTCTGTCACAAATTATAGCTAATCATAAATGACTGTGCCACAGATTTACAGGTTACTGCCAAATACAGGATCTTATAAAATTAAAAAAAAAAAAAGCTGGGTCATTTAAGGAAAGTAGTTTATTTCTTGCTTTGATTCTTTCCCAGAACAGACATAAGAAATGCACTATTTTCCTTCCCGGTATTAACAAGATATTTTCCAAATCCATTGCCTTGCATACAACTGCATTCCTTCAGGAGCTTGTTCAGTTTGTGACTCTGCTGAAAACTGATATCAAAGAATTAACCTGATACATGCTTTTACCTACTTTTCTCTTGTTTAATGCTTAGTTTAAGTACAGCGACATTCGTTTTCATTCTGTAAGACTTTTCTGGAACATACTACCACACTACAAATAAAAAGTTTTAAGTCGTTTGTTTTATTTCTTTCTCTCTTCCCCTTTCAAAAGAGTTTAATTTTTTTGGTGTATTAACCATTTAAAAAAGTTTCTAAGTTGGGGATCTGCTTTTTGATCTAATGTCTGGCAAACACCAACTGAGAGAAAACCTGTATTTTTAAGGCACATAGAAGGTGAATGTCAGTGAACCGAACTGCCTTCATAGCTTCTGACTGCTGCTAAACACATAGGCACGGTTTTTGCGACAATAAAGAACATTGCCCTGCACTCAGGTTCCGAAACCCAAGAATTATAGAGGGTCACGAGGGTTAAGAGAGCGACAGATGCATGTCCATGAAGGATGACAGTTCTGTTTTTCCACTTACAGAGGCTCAGCGGCAGGGGCACTAGCAATGTGTCTGCTGTTCCCCTAAGCAACCACCTCCGTGAGTTATAACTGTACGCAGACTTACTGTGATGGCCTGAAGTCTTTCCTTCACCAGCTCAGCTTCTTCCATTCTAGAAGTCAAGGGCAGGCAGACGGCGCAGGAAGTCCAAAGCTACCATAAAGCAGGAGCCTCCTTGGGGAGAGGAGAGGGGTGACAGAGGAGAAGCTCTTTGCACCAGTGGAGGAAGGCAGAAATCCCCGGCTCGGCAGGAGCGTCTCTGAGCAGATGTACAGATCAGGCCAGACAGACACATGTAATGAGAGTGTGCCGGGAAGGCAGACCCTGAGGCTGCTGGCGAGAGCTGACTGACAAGTTTGAACGGCAGCCGCACCAGCCCTTTTCCTTCAGGAGCTGCCAGCTCTTTGTTGTAATGTGCACAGTTAGCAAGTCACATTTTCTTATTAACTGTTCCTTACCCAACTCGTTATTTTCCAGGAGTGGCACAGGAAGGCCCATGAGCTGAGTGTTTAATCAGCCTCTGCTCTAGCAACACACAGCCATCTCTGTCTGTGTGGGTCTGTGTGTGTTTGTACAGAGTTTACCTGCACCCTCCTCCAGAGTTTACAAAGACAGAGCCTCACCTTCACTTGCCTAGGCCACTTGCTTGCCTTTCTTCCTCTGATTGGCTTCAGATAATAATAATAAATTCTGCAGTCATTTTAGAACTTAATATACTGGTAAACTGACATCACATCATCCTTCCTTCTCCCTCCTTCTCCTGCTTTAGCAAACTTTGGAATCTTTAGGTCATGGAGAAATCAAAGGTGTTAACGGGACTCTTGGCCCACCAGCAGTGTTTAGTGAGATTTGAACGTCAAGTACTGCCCTTGGTTATTTCTTGTCATGGATTTCCATGGGATGCTGTTCTTTCTTGGACCTTATTCAGAAATGACACTCTCGGCTTTCAGGAAGGTGCCCATTTTGACCTCACCAGTTGTGCAAGAGAAAGGAGGGAGCCCTTGAAAGTGTGACCAGACATTCTGTAACTCATGCAGTCCGAAAAAATCGTGTGGGTGTTCCCTTGCCCTTTAGAAAAAGAACGTCAAGTCCAGTGAAACTCTTAGCAGAGGCTGGAAGCTTTACAATTGACTTTGTTCTCTTTCCCCTGTGATTCCTGTGATTAAATTTTGATGTAGTAAACCCTAATTATCATCTACCTCATTGTTACGTGTTTGGATGCTATCAAGTACCTTCATATCAACATTCAGCTGAACAGGTTAAAAAGACTAGCCAAATAGTGAACATATGGTTTAATGTCCTTTGTGTTGTTGATTGTAATAATAATAGCTAATATTTATTGAGTACTGTCTATAGACAAATGCTTCACATACTGTATGTCTTACAAGGTGCTGGAAGATAGATGCTATTATCTCCATTTTAAAAATGAGGAAACTGAGGCTCAGAGATGTAATTTGTCATAGCTATGAATGGAAAAACCAGAATGGGCTGGCTGACTTTATAATACCCGTTCACCAGAGCCTACCCAAGGAAGCAGGGCAAGGTGAGACACAGGCTGAAAGTTATATCAGTCTTTATGAGAAAGACTTGGAGCTCCATCCATCCTCCTCCTCCCTCTGGCTCCCAGAACACTTACAGCTGGATACAGACCCGTTCGGCAGATTTCCGTGGGAAGCTCTGGAGTAACTTAGTGGCCCTAGAGAGAAAATACTTTTCCATATTGTCATTTGGAGCTACCCAGCCACAGAGCCCTAGGTGAAACCCACCAATTTCAAGAGTCTGAAATCATACTCGAGAATAGTTTGTCCTTGTTTATACATACTCAAGTGAGACATTTTGGAAAGCTAGAGAATTGGAAAATTGATTAGGCATGGGCCAACTTTGGTTACTATTTGATGGATATTCAAGTTAAAAAAAGTCAAACCTTCAAACCTTTTGTTTTTGTTTATATGTCGGTCCTTGCTGAAATTAAATCCAAGAGAACAGTAGTGATAAATATCTCAGTCAAAATTGCATGTTTGCTGCCCAGAACGGATGGGCAGTCATCCAATTATTAGTCTGGATCTTTTCCTAAAAACAATTTACCGCTCAAATCTCATTTCTGCTCTGGGAGAGCCCAAAGGTTTTCTAGTGTAGGGAAGGATTTGATAAAATAAGACCAAGGAATTTAGGAGGGAGCAGAGTTGTGACAATTGATTTCTATCGTGATGTGTTTATTCATTTACTTAGCTGATAATTGCTAATATTTTTAGAGCATTTGCTATTCATTAATTCTGTACATATTTATTGAGCACCTATGATGTGTCAGGCACTGTGCTAGGTGTTTGGGATACAAGGATGAGCAAAATTTCAGCTCTCTGGAACTTCTATTCTGGTAGGCAATGAAAGATAATAAGAATAGGTGAGAAGGTGATTACGTTAGTTGGATTCCTTGAGAAACAATTGGCAAGATGGGTTAAAAGTAATGGATTTTATTAGGAGAATGGCTGTATGAGAGAAGATGGGGGAGGTAGGCAGAGAGGGCTGGAGCTGGCAAAGCCTGGGAGACTGGTTAGACTGGGGTGCAAGTCTGACTCCAGTGAGGGACAGACAAAAAGAAAGTTGAGTGGAAACAGCCTGATCTGCAGTGCAGCCTAAGTCAGACTGGAAAGGCCATCAGAAAGTCCTGGAGCCAAAGTAAGCTACCAGAGAGGGCCTGTGTCTCCCAGGAACGAGACTGTTTTAGCATTCCTGCCGTACTCAGCCATTAGCTGGGAGTAGCTCCTGAGAGGCATGGTCTTGATGCAAACGTAAGGCTGGATTTCAGGGTGCAACAGCTGGGACCCTTTGTCAGTTATGCTCCTGTAGTTGGATGTCTGGGAGGCACATTTTTATGACAGCCATGGTGATAAGTGCAATGGAAAGAAAATAGAGCAAGGGAGAAGAATAAAGTTTGCTAATGAGTAGAAGGTTGCAATTTGGAATTTAGAATGAGTAGGGAGCATTTGAACAAGGCCTCCAAGGAGGGGTGGGAGTCATCCATGAGTCCTAAGGTGAACTATACTTAGCAGAACTATACCTTTTAGGAGGCCCCAGGGCCACTGTGGTTTGTGGTTGGAAATGTAACAGGTTTCAATCCACACAGGGTCCCATAGAACACTGTAAGGACTCTGCTTTTATCCTGTGTGAAGTGAGAAGACAGGAGATATTTTGAACTGAGAAGTGACGTGACCTAGCATATTTTGTAAGGATGGAAGCAGTGATACTAGGTAGGATGCTATTTCTGTAATCCAGTTGAGAAATGGTGGTTGCTTGAGCCAAGGTGATAGCAATGAGCATTTTGGGAATTGGTTGAACTGTAGAACTGACAGGATTTCTCAATATTGAATATGGAGTGTGAGAGAAAGAGAAGATTCATGATAACTCTATGACTTTTGGACTGAACAAATGGAATTTGCCATCAGTTGAGATAGGGAAGTTGGTGAAATAGTTCTGTTTTTACAGAGAGGGTAGATACCAAGTGCTTAGTTTTGGACAGGTCAATGAGTTATCTCATGGAGATGTTGAGGAGAAATTGGATACATGAGTTTGGCGTTCAGGAAAGAAGCCTCAGCTGGCTTTATAAAATATATTATATCTCAGAAAGTAAGCAGGATCAGAAAATATTTAGAATTGTAGTCCACAAAGCAGTATAATCTAGTGAACTAGCATTCATTAAATGTTAACCATATATTATTCATAACCAAAGTCAGTCTTTATAAAATAGATATACAATAGAACTCATCTGCTTCCTGATATCTTGTTAAAGCAATTTTAGTGAAGACTTTGTTGTTTGCCAACCAATATAAATGAGTATGGCAAGAGTTAGGAGTTACAAATCAATTACCTGAGCTTAAGGGATATAAGCGATTCTGTGACAGTGTCCTTTCTTAAAATGAATTCACTATCTGGTTGGAGAGGTAAGACATATGCTAGAAACAATTAGGGGACAAAAATGGTAAACAGCTGTCATTGTATTGTGATAAAACAAAGTACTAATGATTGCACTATTTGGGACCAGGAGGGTATAGCACAGGGAATATGGTATTGTGTAGCACAAGCAGTAAGTATGAAATGAGTTGAAGAAGATAAAGATTAGTGTAAGCTGCAGAAAAGCCACTGCAGAGAGAAAGCAGAACTTGAAAGGCGAGAAGTCATTTCTAAGTGTGAGAGGGAGGGAAACATAATGTGATAAAGGATCAGAAAGGGGATGGTCCTACCTGGGGCAGAGAGGAGAAATTAAGCAGAAAGACTGATAGAAGTATACATCCATACATGGAATTTGATGTTTAGGGAAAATGGACTAGGGGAGTGGGAGATGAAAGATCAAATTCATATTTTAAGAGAATAATACTGTTGGCTTCAGAACAGACAGGAATAGGAAAAGATTAGGTAGGAAGGTAAGAGATATGAAATGTGAGTGCCTGTGAAAAGAGTTTATGGGCGCCTTGGTGGTTCACTCGGTTGAGTGTCTGGCTCTTCATTTTTGCTCAGGTCATGATCTCAAGATTTGTGGGATCAAGCCCTACCTCGGGCTCTGTGTTGACGGCATGGAGCCTGCTTGGGATTCTTTCTCTCCCTCTCTCTATGCCCCTGCCCTACCGGCTCGCTCTGTCTCTCTATTTCTCTCTCTTTCTCAAATAAATAAACTACAAAAAAAAAAAAGTTTAAACATTTGCCAGTGTTCTGAAGAGGGAAAGTCTTCAGGCTTCTTCCTGTCTTTTGGAAGGTCTGAATCCAGAGGTCAAGAAATAGGACAAAATAAGTGGAATAGTACTTATGGTGCTAATTTAAATATTTTGTAACCCCAAAGTGATGGCAATAGGAATGGTTTATAAGGGAGGAAACCAAAAAACATTTCAGTGAGCGTTAACTTGGAGAGAAGAATGAGAATTTGTAGGTTCCAAATTAAGTACAAAAGGGAAGCTTAGATTAGAGATTTTGCATTGAAAACCATAGAGAATTAATTTCAAATAAAATAGTGGCAGGAAGAAAATCAAAGGAAACCAAAGGCAGGAAGTAAATATTTCTTGGATATATATGCGAGAAGAGTTTTCTAGAGCTCTTTTGAATGCAGATCCTGTTAAAAAAAA